CACTTTTCATATTAGGTTGTCTTTTATTGTTAGTTTTAAATGTTTATACAATTTCTTCATAGGAGTCCTTTATCAGCTATATGACTTGTAATATATATTCTATCACTCTGAATTGTATTTTATTCTATCACTCTGTATATATTCTATATCATTCTGTATATATTCTATCATTCTCTGAATTGTATTTATTGTGCTTTTGTACATTTCACACAACATTTCTTAATCAAATTTAGACCCCCTCTCCCATCCATGTCCCCCATTGGACCTCATGCATTCCACCATATATAAGTCCCATCCAGTCAAGCATTTGTACTCAGATGTCCTTCACTGCAAATTCATCCACTGGAGCCTAGTAAGCCTATCTAGAGATTGTAAGCAAGGTCTACTCTCGCTCTCATCCAGCAGCAATCAGTCTCCAGTAGTTCCTAGACTAGGGATGGCTTACTGCCCATTTCCCTCGCTCCACTCTGGGCCCTTGTCTGTTTGAGTTGGCATGGGTCTTGTGCTTGACGCCACCATTGCTATAAGTTCACATGTGCAATCTTCCAGTGGCCTGAATGTCTCTGTTTCCTTATGCTCATAGGAAACATGAACACTGGCCCTTATAGTCTGTCCTCCCCGTCTCCCAAAATGGTCCCTGAACTGTGGATGGGTGAGGTTTAATATAGGACCTGTGGCCCAAATGTTTATAATTTTGTTATTGTCCAACTTACCCATTTTTCTTATTACCAGTGCTTTTGGCATCATACATAAGAATCTATTATTTAACATAATCTGAAGGCTTGCATCTATGTTTTCTTCTCAGAACGTTATTATTTTAACCCATAAATTTTAGCATATGATCTGTTTGGAGTTAATTTTTCTATGTGGTGCTTCAGAGGCATACAACTTACTCTTTTCCACTTGACTCTCTAGTTGACTCAACTTCATTTGTTGACTTTTCTCATTTATTGTCTTGGTGCCTTGTACAAGACAGTGGATTGTACATCTATGGTTTTAGACACATGGATCATAAGGGTTACTTATGGACTATATCAATTTGCATATCTTACACCCATTTTCTCTTTCGGTCCACTTCTGGCTGTCTTCTGTCCCCCAAGTGCTCTATGACAACCAGCAGTAATCTCTGTGTTGTCCAATACAATGTTCCTTTACTATTTAGCTGAAGATTGGGAGTAGTATCCTTACATATGGAACATACTTTTGGTTTTTATGATTGGGCATTGTTTTGGATTTTATTTTTCATAGCTTTTGTTCTTGGCTTTGATTTCATTGCCATCTCTCTAGATGTTCAGTTCTCCTGAGGCTTCTTGAAGTCTTGGATTCTCTACTTGATGTATCCTCTCCTCTTATGTGATCTCAGATGGTCTCATCCCTGCCACAATGTTTTGTGTTGATGGCTTCTTTACCTAATTTCGGTACTTATACAACTAATTCTTTATTTGATGCCATCACTTAAATGTCCACACATATCAAGAACCAAAAGTCTCTACATTTCTATATGGAACAATTAATTTTTGTCCATTGGCACTAGAAAACACTTCTATGACTAGATGCTACAGGGAAAAAGAAGGGAGAAAAGAAGGCCCGACAATCATTTTAAGTATTCTTTCTGCCACTTTGCATATTGATTAATCATCATATCTTCTTGGTTCTGATGCTCAAAGAATATTTAAAACTCCTAATTTCTCCATTCAAACTGTCCCTGCTTTAGTAACCACCTTCCTATAACCACAATAACTACCTAATTTATTTCCATTGTTACACTGTCTCCTCAATGAAATACATTCTGAACCAGAAAGCTAAAAAGATCTCAGAAAAGGAGGAAGACACATCAGGCTCCAGGTTAATATTTCAGAACATCTTCAAAACCTTTGCTATGGTTTGCTCAAACTAGTCCTCTGTGGAGCAGACCTCAAGAAGAGAATAGAATCATCCAGGAAAATAAATGTATAGGGAAAGCCCTGCAGGGACAATGCAAGTCTCACATCTATAAAAGGAGATAGAGAAGGAATGGCTGTCAGCATATCAGTCTTCAGCCAATCTCTGAGACGCTTTGGCCAGGCTCGTGAGGAATCCTTTAAATCAAAGCTATCCACTACAAGAACTCCATATTTCATCAAAATAGGCTCAGATCTTATCCCTGTGTATTCTGTCACTAAGGCAGTGCATTGGTCTGGCTCCAGTACAAATACAGTTGTAGGTACAGGGGTGAAGTACATGGAACTGCTGGTGTATACTAGTCCTATTTCTGTTGCTAATAACACAACACCACAGACTGATTAATTCACAAGGAGGCTCATTTTGGTTCACAGTTATGATCCAAGATTGAGGGGGTCAAATCTCATGATGGCGTTTCTGATGGCAGGGTTACAAAGTAGCAAAGGTTATCATGTTATGACAGATGGACCTTGTTCTAGTGTCTCTCCCTTTTCTAGTAAAACCACCAGTACCCAATTCTGGAGGCTCAACCCTGATGACCCCATCCAATCCTAATCACTTCCCAAAGGCCCTATCTCTAAGCACTAAAGACAGATCCAGTCTCCCCTTTTAATATCTTACAATGGACCTTAAATTCACATATGAGTTCTTGGAGAGGACAAAAAATATTGAAATCAAAATTTTCACTCTCTGACCCCCAAGGTTAATGTCCTTCTCACAATGTACATTATAGTCAGTAAGGTATAGGCCCATAGCAAGAGATCTAAGTGGTACATTCCTGCAGCCACCATACAAGGTCTACAAAGCTTGTCAAGAACTGGCTAGTTCACTGCTTTGAATTAATGTGATACTCTCACTACATTGCCCTGTGTACCCCAGCTAATTCTGTGTTCAATTTGTTCTTATCATTCCTTTTGCTTTTAAAACTACCCTTGTGGGCTGGTTGTTCTTGCAGAAGACCAGGTTCAAATCCCAGTGCCCACATGGCAGCTAACAACTGTGTGTAACTCCAGTTCCAGGGGATCCAAGAACCTCTTTTATCCTCTGTGGGCATTGCACGACATGGGTGCACTTACCTACTTCCAGGCAATACACACACACATAAAAAATAAAAGTAATAAATAAAATATTTTAAAAACCACCCATGCAACATCACATAAATTCTATATTCTCATAAGGCAGGTCAATATATTATAAAATAATATCTTGTTATGATTTCAAGTAGATTCAGGACATGTGTTACCTTACCACTGAGGTCTTCGGAATTTGTTTCACCTAAATCAACCAACCTTCCTCATCTGAGCCCTACTTGCTAGCTCTGTCTTGCTGTCTAGTTTTATCTCCTTCGTAGCACTCAAAATTTCTGAAATAGTCTTGCTTACTCTTTTATTTACATATGTTCAAGTACTTTAAAGACATACCTACACACACGTATAGTCTATATAGAGTACATAACCTCTTTATACTAGAATCTATCTCATTAGAGCAAAGCCCTTTACAGTATTTTGTTTATTACAGTATCCACAACTTCTAGAAAGGTTCCAAGTACCTAGGGGGTGCTTTACAAACTTTCCCTGAATGACTGAATGAGTAAAGAATAGATAAAAGCAGAGAATCAAACTAAGCCTCTATTATATATGTCTTCTAAAGTTTTATCAATGCTCAGAAATACTCAAAAATAAGAATATTGAATTACATTCTGACTAATATTAAGAAATTCATAGGCTTTGTCCAAAATCTCTAAATATGGAAAACATTTGAGATGTTTTCAAGGAAATGTAATTTGTTTTGAAATTGTCTGTCTTTTCTAATTTTATGCAAGATTTGCTTTTCACTTGACTAGATGGCAAGCACAGTATGAAATTTGTAAAGCTTCTTAGATAAGCCTTGCTTTAGAATTGCAAAGTGTGCATGTTTTATTCATATCTGGTGATCTGGTAGGGTGCAAATAACTGACATGAAACAACTGTGCAGAGTTTAAACCTGTAATATCAGATCTCAAAGGATTAGTAATGGTGGTAAATAGATAAGAAGGAGAACATGAAGAAGAAAGCATGCTTTAACAGAAAAAGCATAGATGTCAATACATGTAACGTTTCTGATTAAATAGCTTTGGTATACATTCATCTTTATTTGCAAAAAATGGATCATTATGATTTCAGTTGATTCCATAATAAGCAATGTCTTGTCTAAGGGATTTTTCAAAGTATTCTCTAAATTGTTTTCCTAGAAATTGAACTGAAGATTAATGACTCTCATATTTTATGCTGATATATTCATGAGTGTTTTATTGCTTAAATATGTCTTGTTTGTTGAGTCAATGCACACAGTGAACATCTCCATGGAAATCTGAAAAATCTGTTCTGTGCACTTAACCTCTGATTTTTTTTTTCCTTCCTAAAGGATGAGGAAAATGGAGAGGAAACCCTCTCGTATCGGAACAGTGATCCCATGATTGGGACCCACACAGAGAAGGTCTCTCTCAAAGCCAGTGACTCTATGGATAGTCTCTACAGTGGGCAGAGTTCATCAAGTAAGGCTAATGAATAAAGAGTGAGACTGTAGACATGAAGGCTGGGTTAAACTAACTTTTTAAAGAAAGGTCACCATGAGGCTTGTTTATCAAATTAGCAACAAGGATCTGGACATTTGATAATAGACATAGTGAAAAGGTAGGATATATATTGAATGTACATTAACTTACTATTTATTATAATACATAGAAAATAGACTTTTGGGCCTGGAGAGATGGCTTAGCAGTAAAGACCACTGACTACTCTTGCAGAAGACCTTGGTTTGATTCCCAGCACCCACATGGTGGCTAACAACTGTTCAGAACTCCAGTTCCAGGAGATGCAATGCCCTCTTCTGACCTCTGTGGGCACTGCACCACATGGGTGCACTTACATACATGCTGGGCAATATACTCATACACATAAAATAAAAATAATAAAATATTCTTAAAAAAAGAATGTAAACTTTTAATGCTATAGACATTAGGGCTTTTGGGAATGTGCTTCAAAAAAGTTGTTAGGTAATAAAATATGACTCTTTAAAAATGCATGCTATGGAAAACTAGCATTATCTGGAATCAGTGGAGCGTCTCAAGGAATTTTTACCGTAATCCCAGAGTGCATGATAGTGAACAAAAGAGCAGTTCTCTCCCTGTGAGAGTACCAAAAGTTCAGCCTGAAGAAGCACATGAGGAAAGTAGACTTGAGAGAAAAAGGAAACACTCCTGCTGAGAACTATTCTGGTCCTACACAGAGGAAACAAAATGGAATGTTTCCTTTTGTTCGCTTTGTTTTGTTCTGTTTCCTCTGAAATTCAATATCAGAGAGGAAGAGGACCCAGAAACAAGCAATGAATCAGGTTGGGGATATGCACATATGAACATTCTTCCTCCCTCTCCCTTCCTTCATACTTGTAGAACAAGCAAAAGTACCACATTTTATTAACAGACGTTTGCTCTACATAGCTGTTAGCATACACTAAGAACTGTGGGGAAGATTTTTGATGTAATTATGTAAGTTGTAGGGAACATCGCAATGTCATGCTTTGACAGTCTATAATCAATAGCATATAAAGATCAAGCTATTTCTATCAATTTCTGAGTTTGCATGTATGAGGTTATCTGGTGAGGTCAAAGTTTGAAGCTACAGCTTGCTGAATCAGATCATACAGACCAAAATGAAAAGGTGTTGGGATAAAGATTGAGGAGCATGACCAGAGCAACAGGAAAAGGATCAGAACTAGTTCAGAGTAGAGAGCTCACTCACAGAGTATGGCTAGGAAATAAGACTGGCATCCACTGCTTCAGTGTCTAGAACAGTGGTTCAGAATGCTAAAATCCTTCTCTGAGAACTGTTAATCTTTGCATTCATCAGGTGGAATAACAAGCTGTTCAGATGGCACAAGTAACCGGGACAGCTTTCGACTGGATGATGACAACCCCTACTCAGGACCATTCTGTGGCCGTGCCAGAGTGCATACAGACTTCACACCAAGTCCCTATGACACCGACTCCCTCAAAATCAAGGTGGGCCAACATTACACCTCCTTCCTGAACAGCTTGTCAAATGCTCATTGCTCAGAATATTTCAGAACTACAAGTCAGAAATAAGGATGTAGATTCTTCGCAGATGGTAAACTGGGGACTGGCTTGCAGTGGGGAAAAAAACTGAACACACAATGAGTTGGTTTAAGAGGGATCTGTTGATTCTAGCTGTTAGCATGAAACAATAAAATTCCGAATCTATGGGGGACAGGGAAGGAATTGTCTAAATTTTTCTGAACTCTGAAAAACTCACTGTTGCTAGGGGTGCCCAGGTCTGCCTGATACTTGCTGGAGAATAAAAATAATGGAGCCAAAAAGAGGAAGAGAAGTTGAAACTGCCAGGCAGGAAGCCAGCAGAACAAAGGCTAGGGAAATGGCTCCTCTGGGCAGCTCCAGCTCTTTTAAAGTAGATTTACATGCTTAACCAGCGGTCCCTCTCCCTAATGATATCCCAACCCTGAATTCCTTCGTCATACAACAAAGTACCCTCAACTCAGAGTTTTCAAATAAGACAAATATATATTTATTGGATCACAGTTTCTGCAGGTCATAAATCTGGGCGTGGGTAGGCTGAGTTCTCTGCACAAGGACACACCTGGCTGAAATCAGATTGTCAGCCAGGCTATGATGTCTCCAGGGACTTGGAGTCTTCCTTTAAGCTCAATTGCTGTGGGCAGAATGCAGTTTTGTGTATTTCCTAAGAGAACATCTATGTGCAACTCAGGTGTTTTTTTTTTCGTTCTCAAAGTACAGAGTAAAAATCCCATAGCTACACAGAGGAAGGAAATTGGTTTTTTTTTTCTTGGGTTACCTGCAGCTTTTGAAAATGTGCAAATTTAAAAGATATGAGCTACAGGACTACAAATTTAAAAGCTAATAGGAAGGACTCAGGAAAGGGCTACCACATCTTGCTATATGTTAGTTCTTCTGAGGAGCTTTCTGTCTGCTTAGTGGAGAGCATCTAGCCTTATTTTATTCTTTGCAGTTAAAATGTGGAGAAGCTTAGAGGATGAACATTGAGACCAGATAGGCAGAAAGACCACATCTTTCAAACTCTTAATGCTATAATACTACAACAAATAAAATTCGGGTTTCACATCAATTACAGTCACAGAGCAGTGAGGAAATATATGGTTAATGCTAAATCTAATAATGTGTTAATTTAAAGGTTGGTTCTTAGAAGTAGTTAAAATATACTGGAATCTAGAGCATTTTTTCTGGGATTAAAAAGTTACATCTCAAAAGAAAGACTATGACTCTTACATATAGGCAATTACTTGCATAGAAATTTTCTTGATAAAGAAATATCCCTTGGAGATTTTTCTTTACTCTTGCCAATAATTTCATCCTAAATGAAACGTAGCCTTAGACATGAATAACCAAAACACTAATTGGTTTGACCATGCTAGTCTTCCTCTTGCATACTTCATTGAAAACATTGTTGTGGTGTTCATTCTATTTACTAACTCTTCTTGATGTTACTAGAAATATTGGGGAGTCCAATGGAGTAGTCACATGTTACGAGGGAAACTGGGACCATATTTGGGGTTCTCATTCTCATTAATAAAGAATTTAAGAATGGAATCAAAAGGAAAGTTTTAGGACAATCTGATTTTAGATTAAAAGAGAAACCCCAAGGTGGCAAGCTGTAAACCTGGACAGCTGTCAGAGGAGAAAGATGGCAAAGAGGAAAAGAAGAAGCCATGCCATTTGAGTTAAGCTGACATGGAGGTCAGCTACAGGGTGGACAAGCAGCCATGAGGCAGAGAAGAGAGCTTCAGAGGAAGGGCAAAGCCCCAAATATTAGAGAAAGCAGGCCTAGAAAAGAGAGAGAGGAAAAGGGAAGGTTATGCTTTTCTGGGTAATTCAGAAAAGCAGACAGACAAAAGAAGGTGAATGGTGGCAGCTTTGTAACCACACTAGGGGGCAGGAATTCTGAGAAGGAAATGTATGATATCTCATTAGTAAGCTAATTATTCCTCCTATGTCTTTAGCATGGCTTATGGTAAAGCTCTCCTTTCTGAGGGGGTCATCCCTTGGCTAGGTGACTGGCCAGTCCAACTGGATTAACTTGTTTATAGTTTGGGTAGTTTAGAATGTTAGGTCTACACCCAGGCCAGAGTATAGCTTTCCTACTGGGCCTCCACAGAGCCCTGATCAAGGCTTCTGCAGCATTAATAAGAGTATCATCAGTATCTTAAGAATTAAGCAGTATAACTATCACATAAGTACTTTTGTTACACAGTCAGTGAATTTTACAGACTTTCACTACTTTAGGTGGATAAAATACCTAAAATGAATTTCTTTTATACTGTAAATGGATTGGGCCATATGAGTTAGAATCATGGCAAAGTCAAACACTTCTTTCCTTTCTCCAGTTGGAGAGCTCCTCCAAGAATGAAGGGTTGAATGCTCACATATATATTGCTTTGGCAGTATGAGCGAAAAGAGAATCATTTTAAGCTCACACATGGGCTTGAGTTATAAGTCTGTGGTTAACTACTTGAAGACTCTTGGGAAGTTACTCTTCCTTTTTCTGTGATATTAAAAAAATTTTTAAATACATCAGATGATTTACCAAATACACCTGTTGTAAGCATAAAATAAGAGTATAAAGTTTTATATCTATCTATCTATCTATCTATCTATCTATCTATCTATCTATCTATCATCTATCTATCTATCTATCTATCTATCTATCTATCTATC